AGTTGGAATACAGAGAAATGTATAAACTACATATCCTTCAGGTCATCCTCAAACAGTATTTTTGCATCATCCTCAAATAGTATTTTTTGCATCATATCTCTTGATAAAATTGGACAACTAACAGTTTGAGATTATAATCTCAGGTAAAAGTCTGGAGCCAAATTTGCTCATTAAACCCTAATTAGGGTGGAGTCCTTCTGGTAGTTTAACTGGTATATCCCAAAGATAAGCCAATCTACCAACTGCCTCCATCATTTCATTGTACTAAGGACAAAGCCCCACCCATGGGTCAATGCAGCAACTCAGGATAGGGTAAGTGGAAGAAGAAAACGGGAGATGTCCACCAAGAAAAAGCACAATCATTTACATAATTTCCAGAAGCTCCCAGACCAACTACCAATATTAAGTGATATTTTCAAATCTGTTTTCTTGTATGATTCTAAAGGCCACTTAGAATTTTTTTTAAGGAAAAGAACACATTTTTAAGGCCAAAACTGCAGTTGCTGAACTAAAACTGATGATGATGATAAAGTTCTGAATAGTGGCATAGACAATGCTAAAAACTGGATTAGTAAATTAGAAAGCAAACATATGGGGGAGAAATGTCAAAGAGATGAAATTGTGAAGAAAAACAGACAAGAGACACGGAAATATGTATTTTTCTAAGCTCTGTAATAGCAGGTTGTAGCAGACTAGCTAGGTATTCACCAAACGTATTTCCTCTTTCTCCTGGTCACACAGATAGACTATATTTCTAATCCTCGCTTGCAGTGTATGAGCTTCTGCTGATGTAATGTTGGCAGCAGTCATATGTATCACTTACAAGCCTGGTCAATTAAAAAAAAAAAATCTCCAGGCATTATTTACTTTTTTCTCTACTGCTGTAACATTGAAAGCCACATGTTGAAGTGATAGAGCCACAAGTTGGAAGAGTCCTGGATCCCTTCACAGTCACTTAAAGAAGAGCTACCCAACCAGGAACATCCATTTTGGACGTCACATGAGCGAAAAATAAAATTTCTACGGTGAGATTTTAGAGCTTAGCTATTACAACAGGCATCGTTATTTAAAGAAACAGGCACTGGCATTGGAAGAATGGTGTTGCCATAACAAAAAAACCTAAAATAAATGACATCAGTTTAGAGGTCAGGCAGTAGGCCACAAGAATATATATTTAGCAAGTCAAAGGCCTGAAAAGCCCTGTGATATTGTGGCAAAACAACTGGCAAAACTGGAACCTGTAATAAATGAAAAGGCACACCGCATGTCTATTGGGTCTGTAGCTCTCTATGTGAATGTAGAGAGAGAGTCATAGTGTATATTGGCATTTGCTTTCTGCTTTTACCAAGGTTTTACACAAAAACGATGAGCACAGAATTTCCTACTTTGAAAACTGAAATTACAGGGAATAGCACAAGGCCAGAAACTTGGGCCTCAGAGGGTTAGAAAGCTGAACACATATAGATCCCAAATAGTAAAAGAAAAAGATGGTAAATTTTGAGCAATTAAGTCCAAAGAAGACCTTCTTGAACAAAGTGACTTAATCCTGAGGCAAAAATTAGATTCAGGTATGGTTTTCTTACCCGTTATTTCATATAGCCTCCAAGTAGGGCCTAAGTAAGAAAGAGACATGAGGCAAGGGTTATGCTCCCCCAACTCTACTACCTCCCCAAACAGGGAAGAAGAAAAAAAATCATTCCTGAAAATTATATTTAGAAAAGAACAGTGGGTATGGTATCTAAATAGAACCTATTGGAAAGAGACAGATCAGAGGTCTACTAAGTTTTGAGTTAACTAACTGTAATGTCAAAACCCCACAAATCTGGACTAAATAAAACTTTGTTCAGAACCTTAAAACAACCCTTGGGCTCCTAAACTTGTAGAAGCAGAAAGTAAGCACTGAAAGATAGAGATATAAATGTGGTTGTAATATAAGTGTAAATGTAGATGTATGTGTATATCTACAGAGAGAGAAAAAAAAATCTTCAAATGAAGGTATATTCCCCAGCACACACTTCAGAAATGTACACAGAAAAAAATAGGGAAAGAAAAACTAAGATGCAGCCAAGAGCCCAGGAGAACAATGCGCAAAGGAGTTCTTTCCACAGAATCAACATCTAGACAAGGAAGTTCCCCTACTACTAAGGCAGAAAGATTTCCCAATGATGGCCCAAAAGGATTACATGATTTGCTATGAAGCAGGTAATACTGCACATCTCCTGTTCTTCCCTTTTCTAAATGGAAGTTTTTGTTGTAGCTATTCTGTTCTAGCTTCTCCATGGTATACTGAGGGTGGGAGGGCCACAGGTGCAGATAACCTATCTTAGTTCCTGGTCCTCAGCCCACTGAAGAGCCACATCTGGATCTGATGGAGAGTACTGAGCATCCCTGGAAGATATCGTACTTTGAGATGGATGTAGTAACTAGATGGGATATTGGGTTGTATTCCTTAGGGAAGGGACAAGTATGTTCTATGGATGAGAGGAAGAGTGAACAGATATGGAATTCCCTGACGGCGCAGTGGTTAAGAATCCCCCTGCCACTGCAGGGGACACGGGTTTGAGCCCTGGTCCGGGAAGATCCCACATGCAGCTGAGCAACTAAGCCCGTGTGCCACAACTACTGAGCCTACGAGCCACAACTACTGAGCCTGTACACCTAGAGCCCATGCTCTACAACAAGAGAAGCCACCACAACGAGAAGCCCACACACCACAACGAAAAGTAGTCCCCACTTGCCACAACTAGAAAAAGCTCACGCGCAGCAACGAAGACCCAACACAGCCATAAATAAATAAATTTATTTTTTAAAAAAAAAGGAGTGAAGAAATATTTGATGACCAAAAGGGTAGAACTGTGCCAGAGACTAGCTACTATGCACCAAAACTGTGTTCTTCTCTTAGACAGAGTGAGATTATATTCCCCAGCATCTCTTACAGGTTGCTATGGCCATGTTATTAAGTTCTGGCCAGTGAAATCAGAAAAGTGATGATGTGTCACATCCATGCCTAGCCCTTAAAAACCCTACCACATGCAATACTCTTTGGTCTTTCCCCTTTTGCAGCAATCTTCAAAACCATATTAAAAATGACAGACCCATATAATGGAAACTTTCCTTAAATCACCATTGCAAAGAAAACCATCACAAATCAGAAACATCATTTTGGGCTTGACATAAGTGAGAAATAAACCAGATCTCTCCCTCTTTTCTAACATCCATGAATTCAAACAAATATTTACTGAACACCTACTACGTACAAAGTATATGGTAGTTTCTCTCCCTCCTACTTTCCTTACTTTTTAGGTACTACAAGATTTTAAAATGTGTAAGATATCTTTATTCAATGATCTTATATATCCCATAGCATAGGATAGTAATACATGCAATAAGAGCTATACTTGAGATGAAAAATGCTATAGGAGGAATAAAGGGTTATCAGTTAATTAAAAAGTCCTGAATTCACGAAAGGTTTCTTCACCGTTTCTTTAAATGACAAAAATACAGCCAACAGTTAACAGTTTACACATTTTGAGTGCCATAGCAGACAAATTCATCTCAGTCTAATCTGAATTCTACTACAGAATCTGACCTTTACAAGCTGTCTGAACTTGAGCAAATCACTTCCCTGGCCTAGGCCTTAATTTCTTCAGATAATTAGGGGAGAGACCAGATATCTCACATTAAATGAAATAACAATATTCTTCATGGAATCCTCTCTTTCACCAAAAAGGAAGTAATTTCTCAAGCAAAGGCCTAGAAAAAGCAACTTTGTACTATACTCTTGTATATTTTGAAAAATTAGTAAAAATTTGTCAACCACAATAAAGACTTGTCTTACAAGATACCTTCATTCCTCTACTCAAAATATACACAGCAAGGCAAAAGTGTATTTTCAATGATTAATTTTGTTTCTTCACCACTAAAAAAAAATGACATGATATGATTATTTCCATCAGGGTTTATCATCAACTAGTTTTAAGCTTTCCACTTCGTAAAGTATAACAATAAGGAAATTAAAAGAAGAATTGGGAAAAGAATATGTGTATTCCCTTAGGAAAGGGATTTCCAAAGAGGCAGATCTCTTTTGCAGAATCAAAGACATATCTAAAAGATTACCAAGGTTAGTTGAGACCAAAAATATGACCTACTCCCTCATTCCTCACAGAATTAAGAACTACAAATGACTTATTCAAGAACACAGTTGTTTATAGAACCAAAAAAGACTTTCCATAAACAGCTGGATCTTCTACTTATTGTTATAGGTTACATCATAAGGTATACTGAGAAATTTTAATAAAAGCAGTGTGACTTAAATTTCAAAAGAGCAAGTAATGCTGCAAATTATTACTGTTCTTTATTCATAACGACAAAGTACTTCTGGACGTTCCTTGTGGCTTTCATAACTTAGAGATGAAGTTATTGAAAGAAAAAAATCAAAACACTTTCAACACATTGTTAATTTATAAGCTATAAACAAATTCCTTTCTGTGATCATAATTCCCAGCATTTCCCAAAAGGTCTTTTTTCATTGATACCCATTGATATCAGAAATAACAGTTATAGAAATATTCATATATAACATGACATCTTGCTTAATTACATAGTAAATAATCAACCAAAGGTACCTGCAGCACAATTTAGCTCATTAACTAGAAAGAACTTTTAAAAATCTTGGGGGGAAAAAAAAATCTTGGGCTTCAAATCATACCCAAAGTCAAGAAAAGTATTCAAAAAATAGAAAAGCCTCTTCAAAGCACCAATATAAACCATCACAATCAATCAGTATGTACTGAATATTCACAGAGCAAAACAATATACTAGTAAATAATTCACTGCTCTGCTAAGAAAATAAAAGATATTTTAAAATCATGTGTTCCCATAAAGATGAAGGACTTCCCTAAAATGACAAGAAACAATTAAGACATTTAGCAAAAAGAAATCTGTGTTTAACAGAATACTTGCAAAGTCATTGGCCAACCTATCATAAACCCAAGACCTACTTGCTTCATGGCAGTCTCTCCAATTTTGTCTGAATGTTTGCGGATACTCTCCAGAAAGTCTTTGAGATCAGACATAGAAACATCCTTAATTTCTTCTCGAAGCTTGGGGATATTGTCCACCATCACCTTGCAGAATCGATAATGGCTTACTTGAGGCAGATAGGTATGCTCTAGATGTTCCAGAGTTTTCAGTGCAGGATAATGCCTATAAAAGGAATTGCATCACCTTTAGCTCAACTCAGTCTTCTTTAGGGCCACAGATATATTCCTCAGGCAAAATTTCTAGCCTGAATTAGTTTTCACTGTACATTAAGACAAATCCAGGATTAAGTTTCAATAAAAACATGAATGGAAAAATTAATGTAAAATTATTAAAAATCAATATATATATATTACAGGACTTAATAAATTATAATCAAAAAAAGATTTTTCCCAAGAATACAGAAAACTTTGAAAATCCACCAATGAAACTCATTACATAAAGAATAAAGGCCATTGCTAGGAAAAAATAAATAAAGGGAAATATAAAATGATCATATCAATGCCACAAAAATCATCCCATAAAATAAAGTACCCAAGGATAGACTTCCAACTATGGCACACAGAAGAGCTTAGCAAATCTTCTACCCAAAAAGCAAATATAAACTAGACAAAACTGTCCCAAACAACCATTTCAAGATTCCGGAAATTGGAAAGGACTCTGCAGAGGAGAACAACAAATTGAGAAGGGTTTATTCATGAAAACTGCTAAATAGAGAGGGACTTTGTGGTATTCTTGCCTGGGGCTACCTCCATCACCCTCTCCACCTCCCCTCACCCCATCACTGGTTACAGCTTGTCAGGAAAATCAGCAGCTTCTCTTCAGTTAGGGGCTGACATGATTTGGAGCAGAGGGTGAAAATCTTATATGGAGTGGTGTTGTTAGGAAAAGTAGCAAACTCATTTTAAAAAAGGAAGAGAGTGGGGGGAACCTCCAGCTCTAATGGGCTGAAGTTCGTCTAGGTTGGAACAAAGAGCAGACTGGAGGACTAACCAAAAACTTAACAGGGAAGTCCTGGAAATAAGAGACCCATAGAATAACCTGATAGCTCTCTGAATATCCCTAGCTGACTGAGAAGCTGTGCACAAATGCAGGGGACACCTAAAAGGGCCTAAGCACTCCACACATCCTTAGCTGACTAGGAGACTGCAGGCCTGCACATAGGAGAAGGCTTGGCAGAATATAAAAGCTCAGCAGACTTGAAAACTTGCCTGAATTTTGAACGCACTCCCTAACCCACATACAAGTCCACTAACAAAGGGTAGACACCTTTCTCAGCTCAAGTTTCTTTGAGCACCCAGGACCAACCATTAGCTGATGACTAGCCTTTAAAAATGAAAATGAATTATATTCCCAGATAAACAAAGACTAATAGAATTCCTTGCTAGCAGATCTGCCTTACAAGAAATACTAAAGAAAGCCAGAAAGGAAATGATAGCAGATAGTAACTTGAATTCAGAGGAAAAAAAATGAAGAATATAGGAAAGAGTAAATATATGCTAAATATAAAAGACTGAATAAATGTGGGGTTTTTTCCCTTTTCTTCTTTTACTATCAGTAAAAGACAATAGTTTTTAAAGCAATGATTATAACACTGTATTGTTGGGTTTATAAAATATATAGATATAATATAAATGACAATAATAGCACAAAAGAAGAGGGAAGAAATGGAGCTAAGTTGAAGCAAAACTACTTCTATATATTATATCAAAACTACACGAGCAATGACCTCAAGTAGACTGTGACAAATGAAGAAGATTATAATCCACAGAGTAACCTCTAAAAAAAAAAAAAACCTCAAAAAATACATTAAAAGGTTTACGGAAGAATTAAAATAGTATACTACAAAATATTTAATACAAAAAAGGAGTAAAAGATAAATAAGAACAAAAAAGACATGAAAAACATAGAAAGTAAAGAGCAAAACCCAACCATATTAATAATTATATTAAATGCAAATGGACTAATAAGCACGCAAATCAAAAGGCAGACACTAGGGCTTCCCTGGTGGCGCAGTGGTTGAGAGTCCACCTGCCGATACAGGGGACACGGGTTTGCGCCCCGGTCCGGGAAGATCCCACATGCCGCGGAGCAGCTGGGCCCGTGAGCCATGGCCGCTGGGCCTGCGCATCCGGAGCCTGTGCTCCGCAACGGAAGAGGCCAAAACAGTGAGAGGCCCGTGTACCGCAAAAAAATAAAAAAATTAAAAATACATGTTCAGGGACTTCCCCGGTGGCGTGAAGGTTGAGAGTCTGCCTGCCAATGCAGGGGACACGGGTTCGAGCCCTGGCCTGGGAAGATCCCACATGCCCTAGCAACGAACAGTGGCTTCTGCTCGCCATAGCTAGAGAAAGCCTGCATGCAGCAGAGAAGGCCCAACACAGCCATAAATAAATAAATAAAATTAAAAAAAAAAAAATACATGTTCAAAAGGCAGACACTGTCAGACAGGATTTAAAAAGCATGATCCAGGGACTTCCCTGGCGTTCCAGCGGTTAAGGCTCCATGCTTCCACCGCAGGGGGCATGGGTTCAATCCCTGGTTGGGGAACTAAGATCCCGCATGCCGCACAATGCGGCTAAAATAAAATAAAAAATAGGGCTTCCCTGGTGGCGCAGTGGTTGAGAATCTGCCTGCTAATGCAGGGGACACGGGTTCGAACCCTGGTCTGGGAGGATCCCACATGCCGCGGAGCAACTAAGCCCGTGAGCCACAACTACTGAGCCTGCGAGTCTGGAGCCTGTGCTCCGCAACAAGAGAGGCCACGATAGTGAGAGGCCCGCGCACCGCGATGAAGCGTGGCCCCCGCTTGCCAGAACTAGAGAAAGCCCTCGCACAGAAACGAAGACCCAACACAGCAAAAATAAATTAATTAATTAATAAACTCCTATCCCCAACATCTTCAAAAAAATAAATAAAAATTAAAAATAAGTAAATAATATAAAAAGCATGATCCTGGGCTTCCCTGGTGGCGCAGTGGTTGAGAGTCCGCCTGCCGATGCAGGGGACACGGGTTCGTGCCCCAGTCCGGGAAGATCCCACATGCCGCAGAGCATCTAGGCCTGTGAGCCATGGCTGCTGAGCCTGCGCGTCCGGAGCCTGTGCTCCGCAACGGGAGAAGCCACAACAGTGAGAGGCCCGCGTACCGCAAAAAAAAAAAAAAAAAAGCATGATCCAACTATACGTTGCTTACAAGAAACCCACTTTAGAATCACAGATAAAAACAGACTGAAGTAAAAGCTAGAATAAGATATACCCCAAAAGTAACCATAAAAGTGCTTGAATGGCTATATTAATATCAGACACATTAGATTTTTTTTGAGGGATTTTTTTTTAAGCAATGAACAAAGAAAAGCCACAAAAGAGCCCCCAAAATGGCAAACACGAGGAAAAAAAAGTTGAACTGATGTGAAGAAATGAAAATAAAAAATAAAATTTTGTCACTCAAACTGCCAACAATTTCTTTAAAAATAATGGATATTATTATCAGGGGTTTTAATAAATGAGAATTCACAGCCTGCTGATAAACATATTTATATTAATGATTCACGTTTTCAATGAAAAATTTCACCAAACAAGTATTCTAAGCAGTTGCATTCTCCCCCACAAAAAAATTACATGTACAAAAATATGTATAAGCCTCTTGAACTGTAGTTATTTATATTAACAAATAAAAAACTAATCTAGAAGTCTATTAACAAGGAATTGGTTAAACGCATTATGATATATCCATGTAGTATATATGTATATTCAAAGAATAATAAAACAGCGAAGTGTTTACAATATTGTTGAGTGAAAATTATTTCAAAAAAATTGAACTTACAAGTATGATAATGTTTTTCAAAATTACAAATATTATACATGTGTAAATTATGTATACATATGTATGTACGAGCTACACAGTACTAAATATAAACACACACACAAATATAAGTACATAGAAAATGACTAAGAAAATATATACAAAAATGTTAACCATGATTTTTCTTTCCTTTGGATAGGAACATTATGGGTAATAGTTTTCGTCTTCACGTTTTTAATTTCTACATTTCCCATATTTAGTATAGGAAAAACTCAGTTTTGATCCTGTAAGTAAAAGACTTATAGTTCTATTTCAGGTTTTAAGAATGAATTCCATGGGAGATACTTAAACTCTTCTTACTCCAATGCACGTAATACCACAAACACTAAAGATTAGAGGTTGGATTTACTTGTTTTCTTTGCTTATGTTTTTCCCTTCTGTGTTCCAAAAATCAAAATCTTAGTCCAAATAAATGAAGGGAAGAAAGAATTATTTCCCCTAAATTAAGAAATAAAATTACAAATATAGTTTAATCTGAAATGGTTGCTTTTATTAAAATTTTACAGACTCACAAACAATACAATTCACATGGTTTAGTATAAACAGAATGGTGTTTATACTACAATTAGGTACGAAGAGCTATGTGCAATAAAATGCATTTCCTCTAGAGAGAAACTTTAGAATGGATATAAACCTAGAAATTAAGCCAAAAAGATAAACACACTTTAGGGTTTAGTTATATTTTGGAACATTGTTTATAGAATGAGAAAAATCTAACAATGTTGCCTGCAGACACAAGGCACATTCACTGATGAGACACATGGCTGCACAGTGAAAACATCTGGTCTGTCAAATAACTCCACATTTTTCAAGGCTAATTAGTACAAAACCCAGTGATTTCTGGCAATAAAGAATGTTACTTTATTTCCCCATTGTCCTTTCCCTAACACACTCATACTCCAACTGTAACAGATCAATAAGATTCATTCAAATTTCTAGTGTACTTCAATATCAGTGACAGGTTAAAGAATGACAGCCAATTAAACACCTCTATAGCAGACACCAAAAGAAAAGAATTCTATTTCCAGGGGCCATGGAAATCTAAAACAAGATTTTGACATTACTTTTGACAACCTCTAAACATTAAAACTGAATCAAAAGCCAAATGTGCTAGCTCTCCCCCTCCCCCCACCGCATGCAGGCTCCCTAATAGAGATGTGAGCAGAAAGAAAGTAAATGAAATAAAAGCAAGAAATTTTTTTAAATAAGGCAGGAAAAGATGTCTAAATAATCCTAAAAATTGGATAACTTAAGGTCAGAATAACTTAGACATGGTTGAATGCTATCCTGAGAAGAGGAATGT